ATATATACACAGTACATACCTTTACTATAAATAGTTTGTTTCATTATATTGATCAAAGAATCTCCAAAAAATTATCAGTGACACTGAAGACTGGAGTAATTACTGCCGAAAATTCAGCTTTGTCATCACAGGAATAAATTACATTTTAAAATATGCTAAAATAGAAAAGTTATTTAAATAGTAATAATACTATTTTTACTGTAATTTTAATTAAACCAATGCATCCTTGGTGAGCATAACAGGCCTTAAAAAAACCAGCACATACACACACACACATGCATATATAGGCAGACACAATGTGAGTGTTTTAAATGTGTTGGAAATCTACAAAAATTTTGTTTATTGTTTGAGTTGGCGGTTGTGAAAAAAAACCCGCTAGTTGCAGCAATTATGTACTGCTTCTTTAGAAACAGTAGGGCAACGTGATGTGAATCCAAAAAATACAAAGAAAATCAAAGCGTGGGGGGATGTGAGGTTCTTCAGACGTGAGGTCCTATTCAGAAGATGACATCATAAGCATGAGGCTACAATGGGAATCGGCATTAATTTGATGTCCTGCTGTTAAAAAATGATCTGGTTTATAAAAGGATGACAAATCCAGTTACAACATGAGAAAGTCTGAGTGCTCAAATGAGACAAAGATGAGTCAATGCTGCATTTTTCTGCAGCGCTTAAAGGAAGTCTTATTGATTAGATGCCACAGAAAGCTGCATCTAACCTTTCAATTATCGCGGTGGTGAGAGTGCGAGACAGACGTCTCAAATACACAACAGTCAAACATGATGTGAGAGAAAACAAGCCGCTGTCAGGAGACGAGCTGGGATTGAGGTGTACTGTACACAAGGAAAGTGTTACATAATAGGAAGTGTCAGCTTATAGGAAAAATCATTTGGAAGTGTTCACTATACATAGCTATGAGCACTGTGAACGGCTAGACAGGCAGTGTGATTTCAAATTAAGCTTGACACAACTGGGTGGTTCCACGGTTGCTCTGTTCCAAAACCTAGTTAGCTCCTTATGGAGGGATCATAGACACGTTCCCAACACAAAGGCTGTTATTAAAGGTTATTAAAGCATACTACGAGAGCAAATTCTAAGACAACATATCATTTAGAAGCCAATCCCAGAATGCACTGACACAAATCAATACAAAATACAAGATGGCGACAAGGCAAAAAATATAGATTATACATAAAATAGTTTTTTATTTAGTACTAAATTGAATCAATAAAATTGCATGAATCTACACAATATTTCTGAGTGATGTTTGGTTTTAATCATACTGGTAGCTTAGCAACATGCTAACCCCAAACTCTATTATTACTCTATTGTGAGTTGAGCTGTCTGTGTTGCCACTAGGTTGCGGCCTTTGTAGAGCTTTCTAATTTTGAGATTCCTTACAAAAGCTCACTAGGTTTTGGAACAGAGCCAGTATAATGAAATGTTCTAAAGCAAAGGGTTAAAGAGATAGTTCACTCAAAAATGAAAATTCTGTCATTAATTACTGACCCTCATACCATTCCAAACCCGTAAGACCTCCGTTCATCTTTGGAACACAAATTAAGATATTTTTGATGAAATCCGAGAGCTGATTCTCCATAGACAGCAACGCAACTATCACATTTAAGACCCAGAGAGGCAGTAAGGACATTGTTAAAATAGACCATGTGACATTTTTCAGTTTTTCATATTTGCTTTCTTTGTGCACAAAAAGCATTCACTTAGCTTCATAACATTACAGTTGAACCACTGACATCACACTTATGGACTATTTTAATGATGTCTTCACTACCCTTCTGGGCCTTAAATGTTTCTGTTGCAGGGTCAGAAAGATCTCGGTTTTCATCAAAAGTATCTTAATTTCTGTTCCGAAGTTGAACGAAGGTCTTACAGGTTTGGAAAGGCATGAGGGTGAGTAATTAATGACAGAATTTTCATTTTTGGGTGAATTATACCTAAGTGTGGTCTGATTGGTTGATCTGACATAATTGTTTGCAATCACAGAAAGTCCCAAAGCAAACAGCAGGACGATGATGGTGCTCACCAGTTCATGATATGGTTTTGTCTCTGTTGTTAAAGGAGGGTCAAACTTCACCTGACCGACTGCAAGAAAACAAAAAAATTATTAAAGGAACAGTCTTACTTTTTCTGTATTGCATAGAAATATATTGGCACGTGGGTTTATAATGACATGAGGGTGAGTAAATGCTGACAAAATATTTATTTTTGGCAAAACTATCCTTTTATTTAAACAATCAGTCAGTTCACTGATATAACTGGTGTTTGAAGTCTGAACTTTAAGTAATCATTTCATGCTGGCATGTTCACTCAAAACCACACATTACTTTAAGTCAGCATACATGTCTGGTGGGTATGATACAGAATCGGAAGGAAAAAAAATCCCCCAGCAGATACTGACAGACAGATCATAGGAGAGAATTTCTGGTATACTCCTGCAGAGATTTATTCACTGAAGAACTGAGGCTGAGAAATTCACTCAGCCATGCTCAGGAGAGCAAGAGCACCTGTCAGGTCCGCCCAGGGGAGAAATCCAACAAACACTCACAGTTAATCTCTGACAGAGTCTTCCCTTCCCGACTGGTACGGCTTGTTGAGCGAATCCGATGTGGAACAGACACTGGAGGCTAGGGAGAAATAGAGACACACAGAGAATACAAATAACATAAACCAGTAAATAACAAAGTCTAAAGGACCAGTTTATCTCCAAGTCATTTAGAGTGCTAATGACCAATCAAAGTGTTTTATTAAGGTTTAGGATAATTTGCAGTTTACATTCCTAAATGAAGTCCAATGTAGTGGTAGTTCGGTGAATTTCACATGAAATGTTTGAGTCTTATTAAAATAAAATAAAATAATTATTATTATTCATTTAAAGGATCATCGCATATTTTCCACAATTTTTTACAACAGTAATGTATAGTAATGAAAATGATCCTGTTCATTAAAAATAAATACATTTATTTATAAAATGAAATAAACAAATATAAAATAAAATTACCATTATATTTTTATTATTATATTTGGGCTGTTAATTTAAAGGACCATCCCATTATTTTCATTATCTTTAATGACAGTATTGTACACATTTGTTTTTTAATTCACAATGATTTCTTGAAAAAAACAAAAAAACTGATCATTATTAGAAGGGTGTAATTGTCAATTAATATAATGTGACAGTGCGATAATGTTTTAATCATCCTTAAAATATGCAAAATATAATTTCCTGTTTTTCTTTATGAATACTGGATTGAAACATGACCAAGACATTTAGTGATTTCTTCCCCTTAGTTCACCTTGAACCTGTGAATTTTGATTGAATATTATATCAAATGTATTTATTATATCACAGTGTTTTAATTCTAGAAATTTTGTGTACGCCTCATTTAGCATAATTTCAATGCATTATGCTGGTCATTGGGCCACACTGCACTCTAAATATCAGCCTTGGTTATTGGAAAACCAATATCGGTCAATCACTATTAAGCAATCTTATTCGACATGTCGAGTTGAATGGCTTTTATAAGTAAACAACATTAAACCAAAAAAGTTGAGATTGTAGCTGTGCTCAATCGATAGCTTGCATATTAGTGCGCCAATCTTAGCTGATCAGAGGACCAGTAAAGATAAAAACACCCCGTCAGCAAAATCAGCACACATCAATACGTTTAAGACGAGAGCGGCTTAGATGCTTACACTTCAGATATCACTTAGTGCCACTGCCAGAGACTCAGTGGAGGGCAAACTCTAGAAGCTAAAAATACATGCCAAGCATCACTCTCTTATAACAGCAGGGGTCATGATGCTGACCCTCTGAATCCCTATCTGTCTGACGCTGCTGTCCTGTCTCACTGCAGCCCAAGAGAAAATCATTACGGCCTACTGCGCGTCCGACAGCTGGGTCCCTGATGACTATCCTGAAAAGTTTTCTATCATTCATGAATCAGAGAACACCTTCCATCAGCAACACACACACACACAAGCACAGATGCACACATGCCTATGGATATGGAAACGCATGCATAAGCACCAAACATAAATACACGGCATGCAGGCTTTTGAATCATGAACAGGTCCAGGAAACAAAATGGTCGCTGAAGAACATCCTTCACTTCAGTTTCACAGCGGCAGGGCTGAGGTAGATGTGATGAGGAGAGATAAGACAGAGGAACAGACGCACGACCTTCAGACAACAAGGACACAGCAGGGCTCTGAAATAGAAATAGACAGCATGCCAAACACTGCACCCTTCTCTCAGCGGATGCCTGTGAATATTCTATCACACCTCTTGAGCACTTGAGCCACATGGTACAGTGACTAAAAGATATTATCTATACTTTCCAAAAAACATACATATGTTTAATGAATGTTAATTTTATAAAAACAAAATTAAATGAATGGTTAAAAAAGCCAGCCATGAACATGTTGGGTTATATTTCAGTTTAAAAATGTTTACATAAAAATATTTTATGATATATACACTACCGCTCAAATGTTTGGGATCAGTAAGACTTGTAATGTTTTTTTAAAGAAGTCTCTTATGCTCATCAAGGTTGCATTTATTTGATCAAAAATACAGAAAAAAACAGTAATCTTGCAAAATGTTATTACAATATAAAATAATGATTTCCATTTTAATATACTTTCAAATAGAATTTATTTCTGTGATGCAAAGCTGAATTTCCATCAGCCATTACTCCAGTATAAAGTGTCACATGATCCTTCAGAAATCATTCTAATATGCTGATTTATTATTAGAATTATCAATGTTGGCAACAGTTGTGCTGTCAAACATTTTTTTTGGAAAATGCAATACTTTTTCAGGATTCTTTGATGAATAAAAAGTTAAAAAGAACAGCATTTATTCAAAAATAAATATTTTCTAACAATATCAATCTTTGCTATCACTTCTTAACAATTTAACACTTAAGTTTAACAACTTAACAAGTTTTAATTTCTTTCAAAAAAAGAAAGAATAAAAATGTACTGACCCCAAACTTTTGAACGGTAGTGTATATTATTAGAAAATATTTCTATTTTAAAAAAAATGCTCTTCTTTTTAACTTTTTATTCATCAAAGAATCTTGAAAAAAATGATCACAGGTTCCAAAATAATATTAAGCAGCACAACAGTTTCCAGCACTGATAATAAATCAGCATACTAAAATGATTTCTGAAGGATCATGTGACACTGAAGACTGGAGTAATGATGCTTTGCATCACAGGAATACATTATATTTTAAAGTATATTCAAATAGAAAAACGATATTTTACATTGTAATAACATTTTGAAGATTTCTGTTTTTTTCTGTATTTTTGATCAAATAATTGCAGCCTTGACGAGCATAAGAGACTTCTTTAAAAAACATTAAAAGTCTTACTGATCCCAAACCTTTGAGCGGTAGTGTATATATAGGCCTAAAATTTCAATTGTGAAGTATTTATTTATTTGTTTGTTGTCTATGATTTAGTGGTTTTAAAAAGTGGTTCTAAAAACAGTCCTAAAAATAAAATTGAAAACATACACTTTATAAAAAATGTCATTCAATCGTTTCTTATATTTTGGGGTTATACAGGGGTTACATATGACCTTGACATATTCTTGACAGGTTTCACAAGAAAATCAAAAGAAAAACACTTTCTTTTCAGTTAACAATGAACATGCAAATTAACAAAATTTCTAATTAAAACTATCAACTAAAATTAGCATGTAATCTATATATCTAATATTTCAATTTCAATAAATATTTAAATAAGTATTTCTATTATATTTTGTTGTATTCTCTTTAACTTTAGCTGATTTTAATTAGTGATTTTTTAATTGACTTGTTCCACAGATACTTCTCATCAATATTTTACAAAATGAGATTAAATGAAAATGAGAATTACAAACTAAAAAAAAAAAAAATTATATATATATA